CCCACACCCCCGCATGGGGTGGGGGGTGGGGGTGGGGGGAGCTTTGCTTTGGCTCAAAGTTCCATGTGTGAGTTCACGGTCACCTTGCCTTGGCCTGTGATAAGAGCATGGTGGAAGAAGTCATGGAGCCCAGCTCTTACCATCATGGTGGTCCTGAGGCTGACGGAAGGGTCCAGAAAGAGGACCAGAGAATACAAGGCTCCGAGGACATCCCGGGGACCTGCTTCCTCGGGCTGTGTCCCACTTCCTCAAGTTTCCACCACCACCAAGGCAGACATTTCCTGTTTAAACCCTAACATTCTGCCTGCCCCAGTCATCTCTTCCTTTTCTGTGTGTGCAAATTCTCACTCATATGTGACTCCTTCCTGGCCTCATGTTGGGGTCACTCTTCTGTGGCTCTTTGACAGTCAGTATCCTTTGATTCCATGACAACTGCTCCATGCAGGACCCAATCTGACACACTGTGTCTTACTGAGTGTGGCCACCCAGCATCCTTATGATTAGCATTTCCATGGTATAGCTTGGTCTACACGTTGACTTCCACTATGTGGTGCCGTGTCTTTATAATTGCGGTGTTTCTGTGGACAGCAATCATATGCAGTTGCAGTCTCCTATCTTGTTGTGTTTCCTATTTTCCCCAGGTGTTTTCTCTTCACATCCCACCCCTTGTCTTTTCCTGTCCTTCTTTTGGATTATTTGAGAAAATTTATTATTCTGTTTTATCTTCTCTCTCATGGTACATCTCTTTGTTCAATGCCTTTATACTTTACACTACTGGATCCCAACTGTCGGTATCATTTCACGTACAGTGTAAGTACCCGATGGCTTTATGATTTCACTTTCTCCATCTTGAAATTCTGGCTCCTGTTGTCAATACATTGCACATACCACATCCACCAGACACCTTATAATGAGCCTTTATTGTTTTTGTTTTCATAGTCAGTCATACTTTGAAGAAATAAAAAGCAAGGCAAGAGTTTCTTTCTGTGTCTGCACACACCCTCCACCCCCATAGCTTTCATTCTTTGGTGCAACTCCAAATTTTCATTGAGAATCATTTAGCCACCACTGGAGAAAAGTCTAACACTTTTCGAAGTTCAGATTGACTACCTGAGTAGGTCTAAGACATTATTTATGCAGTCTGTGTTTTTGAAGACTGATTCCCCTGGATATGGAATTAGAGGCTGAGTGGTTTTAGTTTTTTTTCTTTCACCCCTATTAAGATGTTCTTCTTCTTCATTTTGTTAGTGT